AACTCTTTCTTTTCAACCCAAAACCCCTATTCTTCAACGTAATATTCCTTCTACTAACTTTGCATCATTTTTTTCCCTTCTTTTCTTTAATACATCTTTTATTCACTATGCTAATATATCCATAGGACAGCTTATACAGGCATTGAGTGAGCTTGCTCCAGTATGGATTTCGGCATACTCCGATTTTCATAGAGTATTCCGTTCGGCTTCGGGTCGCGCTTTGCGTCCTTTCCTCCATTCGGCTTCCAACTCTACCTCTGCCTCTAGTCTATGCAGCCTCAGCGGCATTGGAGCTTTCCCACTCGATTCGGACGATCTTTCTGCTTTCTCGCCAAAAGTATCCTCTGAGTCACAACATATATCTAAGTTTGGTAGCAGATCCACGAAAAAAACGTCTATTGATTGTACTTCTGAGGACGCTAACCCAAACTCATTATTGATTGATAAGGACAACGCTACTTCTGTCACTTTTATCGACAGTGCTGCTTCTGGCAAGGGAGGATACATGTATATGTCCCAGAAGGACACGCCTAATTCGGATAGAACTTTCAGTACTTTGTATTCCCGTTGCAGGCCTTCATGGAATCATTTGCAGTGGACATTCAAAGACAAGTCAAAGCAACAGGCAAATGACACACATTTTGAGACCGCTTCTCAGACGAACAAGTGGATGGTTTCGCCGAGGCATGAGAAAGTCAGTTAGCCACGCCATATCACGCCCCAACCCGAATGTTTTTTCCACCATACGTATGTACACAACTTAATGCGTAATTCCTAAATCTAGACCAACCACCGTTTTATTCACCTAACTTCAACTGAATCTTTGTAACGACTGCTGGATGCCAAATGCCATACTCCTATCCCCCTCTTGTTTCTATACTTTTGCTGTTACCTTCGTAATCTTGCGCCTCTTATGCTTTCTTGATTCTTAGGCCCTTTTATATAAACTCGCAGGTTCTTGAGCTAATTAATTTGATTTATTAGATATCTTATTTGTGAGAAATCCAAACCAGTCCAGTGGTTAGGTTGAGTGCGCCTTCTTTTTTATTATATACATTTACCTTTGATCTTTTGAAAGAGTCTCGCGATTATATTTTCCTATATGTTTAAATACATATTTATTTATTTTAAAAATGTATTTTAAAAATATCTTTATGTATTAAACTATTTTCAAAATTAACTTAATTATTTGGCATGTTTGATTGTTGTCTATTTTGGACAATTATCTTACCCTTTCTACCTTCATCATTATCCTTTTCATAATCTTCTGATAAATACAGAGACAGCATTTCTCCTCCGGCTTTTCTTTAAAACTTCTTTTTTTCCTTTAATTTTGGGTTGCTTGCCTTTCCGTTATTGAATGAAATAATTTATAAACTCTCCTCGATATCTACCGTTCTGAGCAATTTCCTTAACGTATATAGATGTTTGGTTTGGACGTTTGCTTACAGTTATACAGCTAGCATCTTGTTAGTGTATTACCATATTTCCTTTGCTGAATCTCTATATATTACCGAATGTGCCTTACTATTTCGGGGACTTCATACAGTCTATTGCTAAAACAATGCAACTAAAGAATATTAATATATTTGCGCTTTATATGCGTTTTTTCTCTATTTTTTCCATATATTTGTTAACGATACGATAAAATGTTACTTCCTATACGCCTGTGTTACCACTAGTTCTTGACTGTTTAACTTGTCAGGACAGCAGGAATTGGCATGTGTTCAGATAATTCTTCAATCTATATTGGCATATTTTTGGCAACATTCGACACTAGATCGTTATAAATCTACTTTAAAGCGCAAGAGTATTTTTATTTGAGCATGAATACATGTATATATGCATTCATGTATTCATCTATAAGTCTATCTTTCCCTGTGCATATGTATGTGTGCATGCATATGAATATTCATATATTAATAAAACTGTAGAGAACATTTTAGTCGTTTTTATTTTCTATTCTAGGCTATATTGTATCCTTCATTCCAGTTTGTTTTGGTTATGCTTCATAATTTTGCTTGAAAACGTAACCTTCACGTGATTTCATAACAACTTGGTTAGATTAATCACAATACTGTTATTTTACAAATGTGTAGGGATCTTAATTTCGCCGATATTTTTCTCGATAGTACAACAAGGATTCCCTCCTACTATCCATTTTTTGGCCTATTATGGCATCACTCTAGGTCTCGTTTCTCATCAATTCGTGTACTTCATAAGCTAATTTCGATCTACTTCAATATGATTTAACAACTTACTCTTTCAACAGACTGCTCTTCGCCCTTCTATTGAGAGACTTTCACTGTCATATGGTGGCACATTCTCAGTTATTTATCCATTTGTTTTTCAGGTTTGTTGCAATTGTAAGCCTTAACAGAATATTTTGTTATCTCTTGTGTATCGCTGTTTAAAGAAAAAATTATTTATTTTCTGATTTGGTCACACAAGAGTTATTGCACTTTTTGGCCACTAATTTCTATCTAAAAATTTTATCGTACTGATTATTTTTGGATACTTACTAGGGTGGTGTAAATAGCTATGAGAAGAAATATCACAACTGTTGAAGCACTAAAGAAAAGACAGAACATATTCAGAATGCAATTAATCTGAATCGCCAGCTTTTTTTATCTATGGATTTACAAGTAATTGCCTTTAGGAGCGTGAAATTTGCTGCCTATTTCTTACTTTAGTCTAGAATTATACTTAGATTTCGTATCAACGTGGATCACCTTTATGCTAATGCTCTGATCTAAATGTAAACGAATTTGTTATATCAATATTGGCACGACGAAATCTATTTTGTGTAGGCCGTTAGTCTAGAATATGACGGTTCATTCCCTTGTGCTGCAGTTTCTTGGCTTTAATACTACGCTCAGGTTGATGCAGTCTGCAAATATCCTCTCACTTCGAGTGAAAACGGAATGAGCCTTCGTCCATCATATGATGGACATCATAAGGGCTGGAACTACTTCTTTTAAAAGTCTTACGTTAACACTAGGTCAAGAAGACTATCCGGCTTTCTCTTACCTCTTATATACGTATAAATAAAATACGAAGATGTATATACATGGATAAATATAGAATGGTTTTGCTAATTATCTTTCATATTGTTCCTGCTACTTTAGCTCGTGTGTGCATTTGTGTATACGTATATACACAATACCGGTCCTAAATGAGGATGATAGCAAAAGCTGAATGCCTGTCTTTGGTCATCAAGGCTTAATGATCCAAGAAAAAGTCCTGACCGAAGCTGTTTAGGTCCCTAAGCAATTATGGTTTAGATAATGAAATGTAAGCTTGTAAGCATTCAAGTCAGGTTACGAAACAACCCATCCTAACCTCTCAGTATAGTGTCATTACGGTTAACCTCCCGAGGAAAGCCATGAATTGGGCTGCGTAATATCGTACGTCTGCTTTGGTTAATGAACTTAATCTAACATGGACGAGTATGGGTCAATTTAACGCCATCATTGGGTGGAAAAGTTGAGTCGCTTTCTTTTGGATGGCTGCGTAACAACCTCTTTCTCCTCCGATATTTCAATCAGGCATAAGTAGTTCTTACTAAACTTCCTACCACAGTTCCTCACATTTAACGTATTCCCTACTATATTGATTTCAATAGCCTATCCTATCTTTTAACAGCATACGTACCATAATCAGCCAATCTACTAGTTTCAGATCATTATAACCCATGTCCAGTCTCTGGCTTGTGTTCTGCTACTTCTGACTTGAACCCAGCTCCCTTTAAAAACATTTTTGTGTTCCCCTACTCTTTGTCGAATACGACAGCATGTCTCTTACTTGTATAGGTTTGACCACGGAAGCACACAATCCTGTAGCAGAGGAATCCCGCTAATGGGTCACATTTCCCTCTAAAAGATGACATAACAGAAGAAATTATGAGGGTTTCTTTGAACACTATTTTTATCCCTTACTTTTCCACTAGTTCGCCTATCTTTTTGAATGAAGGCATGACGATACATAAACACGGTAATTGGGCCTCTTTTTCTCGAAGTATTATCCGAGCTTAGAACTACGATTTACTTCAGTTAGAATATACTTCTGGATTTTTGACTTTGCAGTTCTCCCTTTGGCTTTTCTGGCTATTGTTGATAATATTTTTAATTGAAATATTTAGATTCATTGACTTGTAGTGGCATTCGTTCTTAAACGTGCTTATTCATCTCTATGACTCGTAGCTCTCTTACTCTCCATAATGGTTATAATTGCTATCTCTTAATACAGATAGACTAATTTACTAGTGTATCTAGTCGTTTTCACTTGGTTGGTCCAAATAGCTTAATTAGATAAGTTCTGAGGTTAAATTCTTTCATTTACGAATTAAATGAATTTTCTCTTATAACTTTTATAGCTAAAGATAGTGCCCTTCAATGCCGATGTCTGCGAAACGTCTGGAAATCTACTAAATGAACGGTCTGAT